GGCCTACCACGCCCCTCTTGGTGGCCAGTCAGTGGGCAGACACCCCCTAGTTACACGTTTCCTCCGCGGTGCACTGAGGCTGAGGCCTCTGGTACAATCTCGGGTCCCCACGTGGGACCTGGCTGTGGTACTAGAGGCTCTCTGTAGGCCTCCCTTCGAGCCTATTGAGGAGATCTCTGATCGCCACCTTACTATCAAAACTACCTTCCTTCTGGCGATATCTTCTCTCAAGAGAGTTGGGGATCTGCAGGCCCTTTCAGTGGCCCCGTCTTATCTTGACTTTGCGCCCGGTCTGGCCAAAGCATTTTTGTTCCCTCGAGCGGGTTATGTCCCTAAGGTCCCTTCCGCTACACCACGGCCTGTCGTACTCCAGGCCTTCAGTCCTCCGCCCTTCGGGGATCCAGACCAGCAGAGGCTAAACTGTATGTGTCCAGTGCGAGCACTGGACGCATACGTCCACAGAGCTGCCCTGTGGAGAAGGGCAGACCAACTGCTTGTTTGCTATGGTCCCCCTAAGAGAGGGCTTCCAGCTACAAAACAGACCCTCAGTCAGTGGATAGTAGATGCCATTTCCATTGCTTATGAGTCCTCTGATCTCCCTTCGCCTCTTGGGGTCAAGGCTCACTCTACGAGAAGTGTGGCGGCCTCTAAGGCCTTCTTGGCAGGTGTCTCAATGCAGGACATCTGCGACGCTGCAGGATGGTCCACGCCCCTAACCTTCGTCAGGTTCTATGGCCTAGACATGCGAGCCACTCCTGGCTCCTCTGTTCTCGCGCCTTAGCGGTGCACGCTTCCACACTAGGCGAGATTTGAAAGTCTGGCAGCGCGGGCATTCTCGTTCCCTTAGCGTCCTCCGACGCAGCTCGAGTTCCTGAAGAGGAACGTCTCAGGTTACATATGTAACCATGGTTCCTTGAGGGAACGAGACGCTGCATCTCGGGGCCATACTTTCGGCATCTCTGCCAGCGCTTGCTTCATTCCTGGAAGCTGACACTGGTCTCACCGCACGTGCTTTTATAGCTTCCTGGTCATTACGTCACCCGCCCGTGACGTCTCGCCCATCTATTGGTCTGATTACACACGAGGTTCAGAGCCGGTCACGCTGAAGGGCGTTCCCTTAGCGTCCTCCGACGCAGCGTCTCGTTCCCTCGAGGAACCATGGTTACATACGTAACCTGAGACGTTTTACAAAATATTTTGGAAACTGAAATTGCTATAAAATCAAAGCCACATGTCCAAATAAGTTTCAAATTTGAAGTTGATATTACAGATATTAAGGTGAGATATTGAGGCGTTATACTGTATAATTGTAATCAGCTAACCCTAAACCAAACCCTTACCTTAATCCTAACCCCAGGATCTGTGAGGGAGGACCAAAAAGCAGATAAACAATGATAGGGTTTATTAACAAAACAGACAAGGTACAAGAGGGCAGGTAAGGCGTGAAACACAGTCCAACAAGAGGGGACAAAGGAAACGATGGCAGGACAGCTGAGGATGACCGCTGGAACCAGCCCTGGATGACAACAGGTCAGAGAACTGCAGAGGACCAGGCAGATCGTGGTGAAGACCAGGCGAGGCACAATGAAGCTTAGATCGGTTACTTGAAGAACACCGACTCTGAGGCAGTCTGGCTGCCAGGCCGAAGGAACCAGCACTACTCACAGCACAACAGGACAGGACAACACTGAACAAGAACACAAAACAACACAAATCAAGACAAGCAACGAGAAAAAAATAAATAAAGCAGAATAATAAAGAACTGATAAAAAATTAATCAAAACAAATAATGAATGGAAAAGCCTGTTAACAAAACTAAAAGTAAATGACTAGAAAATGTCAAACAAAATAAAAGACAAGAGTTCAAGACTACTAGAAATAACTAGGGAAAAAAAGTTAAAGAGAATACTAAAATTAAACTAAAGAAGAAGACTTGAAAAACTACTGTCAAAAAATAAGGAGTAAGACTTTAACAAGAGTATGCAAGGAACTAGCAAAGACTTAACTAGAACAGGAACTAGCTACATGTAGCACAAAATACACATGCACTGCACTCAAAAAACCGGCAAAGACAAGCAAAAAAAAAGTGTGGAAAGCACACAAGGACAAGGTGAACACATTTAGTGAAACAAGGACAAGACGAGAGCTAAACAAGGGGGCGTGGTAATGGGAAACAAGGAGACAAAGCCAAAGCCATGTGCTGAAACACAAAACAAACATAGAATGTCACCTTAAAATAAAGTGTAGTGGGGAAAAGACATTTATGAATGTATGGGAAATTGATTGATTGATTAATTGATTGATTTAAGCCCTATTCGCACGGGATTACCTGGTGGCCTCTAGTCATTTGTAATAATTGCGGAGATTGTCTGTGATCTTAATCCCTTGCGAATCGGCCATGTCTGTAATTTTTAAAGTAAAAATTCCCCCCAAATGACCTACCATATTTCGCCGAACACCGAGGTCCTGTGATAATATTAGTCCCATGCGAATCGGCATCTCTGGGATTTGGCCAGGATTTGACGGGGTCGTATATAAGGTCGTATATAATTCATGTGCACCTTTTTATCCATCTTTCGCGAAGAATGGAGGCTGTGTTGGAGTGTTTTGATAGTATTTTGGGTGCTGGGTCATATCTGTCTGTAATTTTTTAAGTAAAAATTCCCCCCAAATGACCTACCATATTTCGCCGAAAACCGAGGTCCTGTGATAATATTAGTCCCATGCGAATCGGCATCTCTGGGATTTGGCCAGGATTTGACGGGGTCGTATATAAGGTCGTATATAATTCATGTGCACCTTTTTATCCATCTTTCGCGAAGAATGGAGGCTGTGTTGGAGTGTTTTGATAGTATTTTGGGTGCTGGGTCATATCGCTATACAGGGGCATTTCTAGGATTTCATCCACAGGCGGGCTAGATACAAATTACCTAAATTGTATGGAGTAGCCTAAATATACACGGATATCCATTAAAGCTACAGAAGTTACTTAGTTAAGAGCAGCGAGTGATTCTCTCTTTTTCTTTTATTGTTTGATTAACATTATTAGCATAGCCTAAGAAATGCACGGGTCCGTTACACACATCTGATATTTTCTTGACTATTTACGTTCACTTAAGACGTAACCAACTGTTTTTACATCGATAATCGTCAAGACAATATAATTTTGTGCCAATTTGCTCAAGACGTGAAAAGAACTCAATGTGGCATTTGCTTGCTGTCTAAGAGACGACTTCCTTGTGTGCGTGCTTCAGGTGTGTGCGCGCACAGAGACGATCTATGACAGCACGCGAGTACCGCATTGAGATCTCTTTCGTGCCGTCTTGCGCTTGAATAGCTTAAAATGTTTAAACTGACAAGCCTTAAAACACACGAGTATTATAAACTTAGAGGAAGCAGCACTGGCACGATCGTTCAGATAGTTTTAGGGGGCTGAAGGCCACATAAAAAGGGTCTAGGACCACCCCTGTCACTATACACCATACAGCATTAAGAAATAGGCCAAAATCCAGTTCTCAAAAGTCTTGTGAACAAATATTCTGTATGCGTTTTATGGCCTTATTTCAGTGACTTTAAAATGATAGTTTTTCACTAAACATGCATAAACATTGTTTTTTCAACACAATCACGTACATGCATGCTGCTCACATATTATTGTAGCCCAGTTTGTGCTGATTACAGTGTTATTACACTTTAGCCATTAAAATGTTTATAAGCAACTGAAAAAAGCACAAATGTCAGGGAATGGCAAAACTTCTCTAGGGCCCCAAAACACCCTTGGACCCCAGAGGGTTAAGTTGGCAATTCTTGGGCAGAATGCATATGCTTTTACTCTGACATCAATTTATTATTATTATTATTTTTTTTTATGCTAGCCTAGATGTTCTTCAGCAACAATTGTTCCCCATTGTACAATACATATCTAAAATCACCAGTAAGCTAGCAAACAACAAACACCAAACAAACTAGTTGGGAGATCAATGTTGGAACCCATTAGTGGTGAGAGAGTGGGCTGGAGAGTAGAGGGGCTCCCAGCAATAAAACCATATGACTTAAATTAGGTGAGAAAGATGAAGTACCAGGACAGGAGGAAATGGGATTATGATGTGGCCTGAGGGGAATGAATATCTGGCAGATGTATTGCACAATCAAGGGTGACTCAGCTCCAGCAGGTGAAAATAAATTAAATAAATAACCCCCTCCCATCGTCTCCTTCATCTTTCTTTTGTCCCTTCTTCCTATTTGCACATTATGAAATATATTAAAAGAATAATAATAATTGCATTGTAGTTAAGAGAAGAAAAACCGGAGAGAGGCAGATAAGAGGATACGAAATAAATATACAAGATATGATTTTAAGGCTGTCAGTTAATTAATTTTTTTTTAATATAATTTATGATTAATCAGATTAATCACATAAATATTTGCTAAAAAAGTGTCCCAAAACAAAGATAAGCCTGTCACTGGCAGACCACAGGAATCCATTTTACAGTTGAGTTTCTCAATCCGTCAAGGGAAATAATTGTTCACACAGCACAAGTTTGCACATTATGTCTTCGATATTTTTTAATTGTTGGTCTATAACTAATACAGAATAATACATTTGGAGCTTGAATCGCACTCATTTCCAACATCCCTTTGTTCCTAAAATTAAATAAGAAAATATCGGTCTGAATGAATCAAACTGGTGTGAACAAACGAAGTAAAAAGTATGTAATTAACTCAAACACATAGATATCACTGCTTTGTCAAATTCAGACAATTGTTAAATGACTTGGTAAAATGAAATGTACATCTCCACGTGTACATCTCCATCAACCATCATGATACCTGCAGTGTTTACTGAGCTTTTGATGATCTGACAAGAAAGTGACTATTACGCCGTGTCCTAACTACACGCGCCGCGACGCGCTATAAAAGGTATCTTTTCCATGTTAATCAGAGTTTTTGACCTAACTAGCCGCGACGGCGACACGCAAAATTTCTAATTTAGAAACGGTTTCTATTTCCTCGACGTCGCGGCTGGAACAACAACATACAAACTATATGACAGTAGATAATCTCAGGTGATTATGTGCTTTATTCCAAGTTAAACGTCTAATATGAGTTTAAATATAATTTTGTGTTACCTTATAGCCATACTGAAAGCAACAGATAGTTTACCTCAGATCTTGAAAATAAATTAAAGCAAAGATGTCCTTTAAAACTGTGAACTCACTGCGAACCAACGAATGTATTCCATAACAAAGATGTTATCAGTCACTCAGTATGTAGGCTACATTAAATTATGTTAAAAAGCTTTAATATTTATGAATTATATTATAAATGTATCCATATCGTTGCGAGTGCA